GTCCAGTCCGCTGGGCAGGGTGAGAGCCCGGGAGCCCGACCACCGTGGGCAGGTGGGCAATGCCATCGTCTCCCGCCGCCCAAGCTGCCCCTCCAGCGAGGCCTGGACCCCCGCCAAGAGTGGCCGCCTCTCTCATCACCAGTCCGCAGGGGGGCGCTGTGCCCAGTAACTTACTCTCGGCGCCTACAAAGTGTGCCTGTAAGACAGGCCCCGAGGGACCTGCGACAGGGATGGGGGATGGAGGGGTGAGGGGGGGCCGCGCAGGTGGACCCTTTTTGGGTTCTCTGCAACCTGCACTTGCTGATTTGCAGAGGGACACCCAAGAAAGTCATCTCACTGCCCACAGTTTTGTTCCAGAAATTAGAACAGAGCAGCCTGGGAAGCATGAATGGGGTGTGGTGGATGGGAGATGGGGAAGGGTAGGCCCCCCTCCCCGGCCTGCCCCAGTCAGATCCTCTTTATTTGCTATGTGACTACTTTGGGCAAATGACTTAACTCCTCTGAGGCTCAAGTTTCCTCATCATCAGCAGGAATTACAAAAATACCAGCTGGACGGTTGCTGGCCCTAAGTGGAACCATCCACAGAAACACTTAGTGCCCACCGGCCAAGTGGGCTGAATGTTTGGTGCTGTCGTTTTATCAAGAAGGTACTTACATGTCAAGATGCTCGTCGGCATTATTAATTTCATTTGTATTTATTTAGCGGCTGGTAAGTGTCAGGCACACCACGGGTGAACAAGCCACTTGTGTTCTCCACTCCCATGAGATTTCTGTTTTGTTCGGAGAGACGAGCGAACAGGCCATTATAAGTAGGCCCACCACTAACTGGCTGTGTGCCCTTGAGCAGGGCCCTTAAGGTGCCTGAGCCTTCTCTGTAAAACAGGAATAATAATTACATATCTACCCACAGTCTCACAGTATAAACTTGGACATAGTAAAGTTTATAAAGTAAAAACTCTCATCCCTCAGCAATAATTACAGTTTAAAGGAGGCATCAATGTCCTTTGTGATCTTTTCGAAAGGGGGCTGACTTGGAGCTCTGGCCACAGAGGGGGAGAGGTCACAGCCGGGGCCTTGAACCATGCGTGGGACCAGGGTAGGGAGAGAGGCCGATAGAGAGCATTCTGGATGTGGGCCCAGCACAAGCAAAGGCCTGGCAGTGGGACTTGCCAAGGTGCTCCCTAGGTGTCAGGAATGGATGAGCCCCCGTACCAGCCTGAAGTGGTAAATGGCCTGGTGTTTTTATGGCTGTTTTTAAAAATTAACTTTTAGTTACACAAATTACGTAACGAGTACATTTTCTTTGTAAGAATTGGAAACATTAATAGCGATGAAGCGGAAGCCCTGTAAATACCCCCCCAAAGGTAATAGCTGTCGTTAAGGTTTTGTCAGGTGACCTTCTAGACCTGGTCCTTGCTTCCACATCAATCAACATGCACACATAGTACAAAGGAGGTGACACTGTGGCATGTTGCACATACCTGCCTGTAGCTTGTTCTTTTTTCATTCAATAGCATATATAGGGTGTCCCCCCAAAAATGTATACCCACAATATCTGTAGATTCTATTACATTTTGAAAATGAAATGTATTTTAATAAACACTGCCTTTACAATTATTCAAAGTGTGTCCACATTTTTGGGAGGATACCCTGTATTAGAACATTTTATCTCCGTACGTATGTAGCTGGCTCAGTTGGTCATAGTTGGTTTCAGTGTTCATCCATTTCAGTCATAGAGGATAATTTTATTTTATTTATTCTAAAGTTTTTTTCTATTGCTTTTTAAGAGAGAGGAAAGGAGAGAGAAAAACAATGTGAGAGTGAAACATTGGTTAGTTGCCTCCTGCACGCCCCCTACCGGAGATCCAGCCTGCAACCTGGGCATGTGCCCTGACCGGGAATGGAACTGGTGACCTCTTGGTTCCTGGGTTGATGCTGAGCCACACCCGCCAGGGCCGTAGAGGATAATTGTAACTGGGTGGAAGAAAGTGGCAGGACGTCCAGAAAGACCTTCAATGATGAAATTACATCACTTTCTTCCCAGAACTTATTTTAAAATCTACTGGAGAAAAGATGCTCATGTTACCGCTGTAACGTTATGATGAGGTATTAATTGACCCCGGAGTAGGTCAGGGCAGCTGTTGTTTGGTTTATTGTAGCTGCTATGAATGAGGAGAGGAAGCTTTAATTTATCCCTAACACAAAAAGTAGATGGAATCGGTTAGCCATGCCTGATTTCAAACAGGCTTTCTTTGGAAAGGAGCTGTTAGTTATGCAACATTTCATGGCTTAAAAGGGTTTAAACCAAGGTTAAGAAAATACCAAACTACTTTTTCCTGAGGGCAGAATGGACTTAGAAAACATTCAGTCCCATGCTTCTTTTTTTTTTTTACTCTTCACCGGAGGATATGTTTGTATTGATTTTTAGAGAGAGAGGAAGACAGAGAAGTTGAGAGAGAAACATCGATCTGTTGTCTCCCCTATGTGCCACGACCGGGGATCAAACCAGCAACCTGGGCATGTGCCCTGACTGGGAATCGAACCAAGATCTCCTGGATCATAGGTCAATGCACAACCGCTGAGCCACACTGGCGGGGCAGCCTAGCCTTCTGTCTTGGTTTGGACTAGCCCCAGGCCTCCCCATTTGTTCTGCACCTGCTCTTCTCCCCAGCGAGCCGTACAGGGCCCCCCGGAGCAGGTCCAAGGCTTGAGCTGGGTTATGGCCTGGCCTCTGCCCCATAGGTCTTCTTTCCCCTCCAGGCCCCGGGGGTGGACAAGCTGTGGGAACATGGGAGGGAAAGAGGGAGGCAGCCCTTGTGGGGCTGCAGGGGCCCATGTGGTATTCTCATTACCAGCCAGCGGTGAGGGCCAGCCCGGCCAACCCCTTGGCCACTGTGGCTGCCTTCACACCTCCACGCTGCCTGTTGACACAAGGCTGCCTCCCTCAGGGCACAAGGTGTCGACTTGGGAACGAGGGTGTGCAGGGGCCTCCAAAACAGCCGGGCAGCAGGCCCCCTTAGAAACCCTGGAATGCACTTCTGGGGTGAGGGTGGGAGGCTGCAGGTCCCCACTCTGGGGGGCCCGGGGGGAAAGGCAGATCCTAGGTCCCTGGGATGGCAAGGGAGGTCGGGGGGCCTGGTTGGGCCCCTCACTCCAGAAGCCCTGAGTCAACCTGCCCAGATACCGTCCCTCCACGGCCCAGGTGCTGGTGGTAACTCTGGGCACAGCCAGGGTAGCCCAATGGCAAGGCCGTGTACCTTTAATCTTTTCTAATCGGGATGAATCCCCATCAGGGGGGCCACTGAGACTGGTCTGGAGCCTCCGGCCAGCCCCTGGGGCCCCAGAGGTGGGGACTCCACCTAGTTTTGGGCTGCCAGCGGCTTGTGCCAGCACACCTGGGGTGCCTCACTAGTGTGCCCACCCTTTCCAGGTGCTGAGTGTGCGTGCCCAGGGCCTGGGCTGCGGCATCGCCTCCAAGGGTGAAGAAAGCGTCCTCGGCTCAGGCGAGGGCTGCATCCAGGGTTGCGTTCGCTGGGAGGCCCCCCAGAGCTGAGGACAGCTCATCCTGTCCTCCGGTTGATTCATCATCTGGTCAGTTTAAGCTCTGGGCACTTCCTCCAGATAGATGTTCCCCACTTGGCCCAGGGATGCCCCTGTCCAGAGGCTCCTCACTACCCCAGGCCCTGCCCATGCATTCCTGCTCAGCCTAGGAGCCCCCACTGCTTTTTGTTGAGTCTAAATTGAGGTACCTGTGGGGTGGTGGGGTGGGTGCCCTCCTTACCCTGCCCTTGGGAAGGAGGGCCTGGAGCCGGCTGAGGGCCCTAGACACCCAGCGACTTGGTGTGGGAGCCCAGGCTAGGGTTTCTAGCCCTGTGGCCCGGGCTGGCCCTGAGTGCGCACCTCCCCCTCCTGCCAGGACTAATGGCTATTCTGGCACCTCTCAGCCAGGGCTGGGCTTGGCTCGGAGGAACCCGAAACCTGTACATCCTGCCTGGAGAGAGCTGCTCCTGTGCTTTCTGGAGAGGCTGGATGTGCCCCAAGTTGGCAGCCGAGCTGGGCCTGCAAATCCTCACCAGGGCGCTGGCAAGGGCACAGAGCCCGAGGTGTCCCCGTCTGGAGTTTGGGTCAGTTTGTGGTTTGACTGTTTTCAACCTTTGTTCAGGGCTGTGTGTAGGGAAGAGGGGTGGGGGGACCTGAGCCTTGCTTGTCCCCAGCCCCCCTGAGCCAGTTCCCCTTCTCCCGTTCTCTAGGCTCCGTCTTGTTCTGCCTCTGCACACAGATGTGTTTTTCCCAGTTGGACAGATGAGCAAAATGAGTCGGGAAAAGCAAATGGCCTGTAGGGGTCCCGGAGACCATCACACCAGCGCTGAACCAGCTTCACCCACGTCTTAAGTGACCCCAGCACCTCTGACACATCCACTTAGCGCCTGGTGCCCACCGCTGCACCCTGCCCGGACCCTGGCTCCAGGAAAAGGCCTCTGCTGGTTAGAGGTAGGTCTGCCCTTTACAGATCCCAAGATCCCAGGCGGCTGGGCAGCGCCCTCTGCTGGCACGGCTGGGACTGCAAGGACAGTGTGTCCTGTACACCTGTCCATCCACTGTACCCGTGGGGCTGACACTGTGGCCTGAGACGCAGAGCTCCCAGGACATCTTGGCAGGCAGGCGGGAGTCCCTGCTCCCATGTTACAGCCGGGGAAACGGTATTTATGCCTGTTTCCCGCCTTCCACTGTAAAGCCCTGACCTCCCTCCAGGTACCCAGATGAAAAGCAGCAGCATGTAACTCCCCTAAGGACAGACTCGGTCCACTGCCCTGCTTTCCCCACCTGGCCCCCAGGACCGGAGATTTCTGTGCTTCTCTGGATCCTTCCCCGCAATCTGCCAAATCTCTCCCCTTCTTCCCACCCCCTCCCTCCTCGTCACCCCTCTGCCTCCTGTGACTTCCACTGGCTGCATATCCAGCTGATCCATGGCCAAGATAATCAGATTATCGTGGTTCCAGAATAATCTATTCCATATGGCTTGCCAACTCAGTGGCTCCGGGAGCCAGAGGTGTGAGGAGAGGGGGTGATCCCAGTTGGAAGGGGCTCCCTAGGAGGGAGCCTTGGGCTGGAGCTGGGAGGCCGCTGGGGAAGGAGGGAGGAGTTCGAGGATTCGGGAGCCTCCGTGCTGGGACCTCTGGCTGCTCTGGGCTCCAGGCAGCCTCAGCCCTGTCTCCAGCCCTAGCACGTTCTCACTCATCTGAGACCCAGAGGATGCTTCGGATCCATGGTGGGTGGGGGGGAGACTGCACTCCCAGGGCCTTTTCTACTCTCTGCATTGGGGGGTTCACGAGAGCCACTGTTTCTCAGAAGTGTCCAGGTCTCCTAATCCTGGGGAGATTTTACTTTTCAGACCCAGACCCCCTGGCTCCATCCTTAGGGACTGTGGTTTGGCACATCCAGTGTGGGTCTGAAAACCATTTTTTCATCTCCACAGGTCCCTTGGCATGGAGCAAGGTTTCGCAGGGGCTTTAGGACTCCAGGACCTCACCCCCAGCCTGGCACTCTCACTCTCAGGGCAGCCCTCCTGGACAAGAGGAGCCCCCAAACCTCCCCAGACTCAGAGTGGCAGGGGGCAACACCCGCTGTGGCCTCAGACAGAGCCAAACAGACCCCAACTCTGCCCTTTGTAGCCAGGTGACATGGGACAGTCTCTCACCACTCTGTTCCCTCATCTACAATATGAGTCAGTAACACCCGCCTTACAGCACAGTTGTGAGTGGAGACCCGGCCAAGGCCCAGCACAGCCCCAGGCCCCAAGTGTCGGTCGTGAGTGTACACGTGGGTGCTGCAGGGAGCAGGTCTGTGGGATGTGACTGGATCCTCCCCACATCAGCACAGCTGGTGTCACTCACCCCGAGGCACAGAGGCAGATGCTGGGGCCCAGAGGTGGACACTGAGTGACACAGGTAGGACACGCCAGGACAAGGATTCCAATCCACACTGGCCACACGCCAGAGGGCTGTCCAGGCTGTCTGAAGGTGAGGGCTTCATAAATAACAATTGCTCCCCTGAAAGGGCTTGCTTCTCAGGCTGGTTGGGGGGGACCCCCAAATTAGGAGCTTCCCAGGGGTTGCGTCTGCTGACGCTAAGCAGGCTGGCAGGTACAAGGGCTGCTTCCTTCCCCTGGGGGCTGCGGCTCCAGCGGAACAAGGATTAAGGGCTGCAAGGGGCATGTTGACATAGCACCTTTGATTCGCACTCCTGTGTCAGAGGGTCTGCCCGGGAAATGAGGGTACCGGGGCTGGGAGGTTGGTGGGGAAGCGCTAGGACCCAGGCTTGGCCTGAGGAGACCCACCGGTTCCTAGCAGGAAGGCTAAGGCCTGTTCCCCAGTCTATGGGGGTGCTGCCCTGTCCGGCTTGCCCCCCACCCTGGCTGAGGACCCCATTGAACTCTCACCTCTGCCCAGCAGGGCTGCCCCCAGGCCTCATTTCCCAGCCTTACACTTTGGCAGGCAGGGCAGGCAA